TCCGCCATGCGGCCGCCGTGGTCTTTAAAGAATTTTGTAACTGAGCCCGGTTTCTCGGCGGGTACTTTCCCGCTGCTGATGTGGGCGCTCTGCGTCCGTTTGGGGTTCCCCATTGTCGTCGGCGCTCGTGTCCCGGCTTATTTTATTGCCTGCGATGCCGGAGCCGCTCTAACATGCTGCCATCTCTGTGCACGGTCGGCCACGCCCCCCAGTAATTAGGTTTTTTAACTACAAGTAATTCATTTAATGTGAAGGTTTTTAGAAGATATTTTTTAATATGAATTGAAGGTGATATTTTCTATGTATGTTATATATTTTAATATGCTGTATGCCCTAATCATTTAGAAGTGCATTTACAAACTTGATTAGATGGAAAATAAAAATGTAGTTTACTGTTGTTACGACTCTCCTGGCATAAAGGGGTTAAACCGCTGTTTAGTAGAGTTTCCCTTTTTGTGGAGGTATGGGTACAGCTACTGTAGAACCCCAACTCCCGAACTGGAACCAGGGAATGCTCCAAACTTCCGAACAGTATACCCAGCAGTACTCCAAACTCCTGAACGGTAATCTCACGAATAGCTGCTAATGGTTGAACACACACAGCATCCAAGCAGCTTACATTCCCAGCAATCAGTCTCTAACTGCGTACAGTAAATCCCCTCAATCAGGAGACCAAGCTCCGTATTGAGGGTAAAACAGGATTCTGGTTTAATGAGGGCTATTTATGCAGGTCTCCCACTAGGGGACCAGATGGAAGACTGTAACACAGACAGACATGTATCACATTCAGACACACAGATGTAAAACATCCCCACAATGCATCCTAATTTCCCTCCCTCTATTCTGGAGATAATTGGGAAGTAATCCAATTATCTCCCAGGACAGAGGCAAATCACAATTATACACGTGGGGACACCGAGACAGTAAAATAAATTAAAACATATAATATTACATTTAGTACACCAACCCCATACATGTCACATATCCCCAGATAGCTTAGATCTGAGCGCACATAACCACCGAATAACGCTCAGATCACACATATAAAGTTCAATTGCCATGGAGCCAAAGTCTTTAATTACACGAATAGGCTCCATGGCATAGCTATCTGGGTTAAAACATTCACTTAAGTAAAGTCCTGATCAATCCAGCATTCATTTAAACAACCGAAATAGAAGCAGGGAAGGCTAGAGGTTCAGCGGTGCCTGCATGTAAAAGTATCCGCTTTTAGTGCACTGATTCTGAGCTGAGCACTGCTGGCCATCCGGGGAGCTCCATAACACCGCCACCGGGTGGCAGTTATGTGTAACCACGACCCCCCAATACAGTGAATTAAGCTGCGGTTAACCACAGCTACTGGCTAGTCAAGTG